CTCCCGCGGGCGGCGGCGGCATCATCGGCGGGGCAAAGTCCGGGGCCGGCTTCGTCCAGACGGTCTGGCGCGTCGTGGCGTGGTAGTAGTAGACCTGGCGCGTCGGGAGCGGCAGAGGAGGAGAAGGAGAAGGAGGAGGGGGAGAAGGAGGCGAGGAGAGAAGGAGAAGGAGGAGGAGGAGGAGGAGGAGGAGACGGAGGAAGAGGAGGAGGAGGAGGAGAAGGAGGAGGAGGAGGTGCAGGAGGAGGAGAGGGTGATGGGGGGGGAGGAGGAGGAGGGAGGGATGAGGAGGTGGAGAGGAGGATGAGGAGGAGGAGGAGGAGGAGGAGGAGAAGGAGGAGGAGAAGGAGACCAGTGTAAACCCACGAGTCATCAACGATGTTGGAATAAACCCTTCCTCCAAGCTCCTTCTTCATAGGCCCATACAAGGGTCGAGTTCCACTGAGGGAACGGCCTTGTTGGAAGACTGCCGCTTGAAGACCCTGATGCATGCCAAAACATCGGTCGAACCAACGTAGCTGTTGCACCCTCATAATCCTGAATCCGTGCAATACACCATTTCTGGCTGGTACGCTGGTCATGGAAACCCGTGATACTTCTGCGATTGATCATACACTATATACGTATGTAAAAAAAAAAAAAAAAAAAAAAAAAAAAAAAAAAAAAAAAAAAAAAAAAAAAAAAAAAAAAAAAAAAAAAAAAAAATAGTAAAACCAACCAAACTTTAAAACAGGCGATATTACATTTTAAAAAAAGGAGCCTCCCCTCAATCGTGAAACTCTTGAATGTTGAAAAAAAAAACGAATGGCGCGGCGCTATAAGGCGAGAGGCATATTTTGAAAAACGGCCCACCCTCCATTGTATAAAATCTTGTTGTCATGTTTTTTTTGTTTTTTTATTTTTTTAAGCTCAGGTTCATTAAATGGTGAGGAAGGTCTCAGGCGAAACGCCCAGAAGCCGCCCCCTTACAACTGGGCTCGGGGTGCCGACAGGAGAGTTAGTTATAAGGAAAAGGAATGGAGGAGGAGGGGAGGGGTAGGAGGAGGCGGTGGAGGAGGAGGAGGAGGAGGAGGAGGAGGAGGAGGAGGAGAAGGAAGAGGACGAGGATGAGGACGAGGTCGAGGTCGAGGAGGTAGAGGAGGAGGAGTAGGAGTAGGAGGATAAGGGAGAAGAGGAGGAGGAGGAAGAGGAGGAGGAAGAGGACGAGGACAAGGACGAGGTCGAGGAGGACGAGGACGAGGACGAGGTCGAGGAGGAGGAGGAGGAGGAGGAGGAGGAAGAGGAGGAGGAGGAGGGGGGGGAGCAGAGGCTGCTTCCACCCTTATGGTTTGGGTCGGGGGGGTGCGGCCCGCAGGCCAGAGAAAGGTCTTGTATAGCGCAATTATGTTCCGGAAGGCCCTTGAGGGGTGCTTGGAGGCTCAGTCGGCTTACAGCACCCACCGAGTGGGCAGACAGAAGAAGCCACCCCTCGACCTCTCTGCAGGACCTTGGAGGATGCTTGACCCAGTCGGCTTACAGCTGGGCAGACAGAGGAAGCCACCCCTCGACCTCCCTCTGCTGGGCGGCGTAGAGCTGCAGCCTGGGCCCCCTGCCCACGTCTTTGTCGACGCCAACGCGCAGCGCTGAGGTCCAGCCGCTGACAAGGATCGAGCAGAACGCAGGCGGAGCCCGGTGGCAGCGCACGCAGGGCAGAGGGCAGCGAGGGGGGCGCAAGCGAAGAATGACGAAGGCGAGCGAGCACGCCCTGGCTCCCTTGTTGACCTCTTTGATCCGTGGCGCCTTCGGATTTCCTCCCAGGCGACCCTGAGCACTGGGATGCAGAGCAGCCCCGTGCTCCCTGTGCAGCAGCGGGGGAGGGGGCAGCGGCACCGCGGGCATCGGCCCCAAGGGCTTCCGCGGACAGATGCCCAGGAAGGGACCCACGCCCGCCCGGGCAAGTCAAGGCACCGAAGCGGGCGCTGCTTCTGGATCACAGTGCAACTGCAACTGCACAGTCCTCCTCCTCCTCCTCCTCCTCCTCCTCCTCCTCCTCCTCCCTCCTTCCTCCTCCTCCTCTCCTCCTCCTCCTCCTCCTCCTCCTCCTCCTCTGGGCCAACTCGACAGTGAATGCTTCCGCGTCTGCGCGGCAACCCCCTCTCCTCTCTTTCCTCCGCTGGCCGCCTCGTCCCCCCCCCCCCTTTCCCCTTTTCTCGCACGCCGGCCACTTCGCGTTTCGGCCGCCTCGCATCACCGCTCGCTGGCGCAGCACTCGCCTCGCCCGCCTCCTCCTCCTCCTCCTCCCTTCCTCCTCCTCCTCCTCCTCCTCCTCCGCCGACGAAAAGAAAATGGCCAGGAGCCAGCGCGGGTGCAGCCCCGCGCCCCCCCCTGCGCAGCACTCCGACGGCGCCGCCGGCGCCGCCCCAGGCGCGCTCCGCGCGCCAGGGAGGGCCCGGCGCCAGTCCATCAGATCCGCGCGGAGCTCCACCAGAAAATCGTGTTCACGCGGCGTCGACGAGGGGGG